ACAAAGAACTGCCAGCAAGGGGCTGCTTTTGCTCCAAAGTGATGGCTTGATCCTCCCAGCAGCGATCAGCATTTGGAGAAGGAAGCAATCCTCTCCCGCCCGCCATGGCGCGTGCACCTGCACCACTCGCGAATCCATCTTCATGGCCTGTAAGGCCTGTAAGGTTCCTGTGAGGCTGCGCGATGTCTCTCTGACATATATATATATATATCTGTTGTTCGATGACTCGCACTGACTTGACATCTGGTTTGATGCTCCATGAGCTGCATAGTAACTGGTGGTCAGTGGTTGGTGCAGGTTTGACACGCATGCCATTGAATTGAGTACAGCACGCACCAAGCCAGAACAATCATCAACTCTGCTTTGCCCACGCCTGCTGGAGTAAAAACAGCAGCAACTGAAGGCGTCCAACCTCAGAGCGTTGCCATCCAATTCCATTCAATTAAAGAGTAAGTGCTGGCTGAGCTTGAAGCAACCAGCATTCGAAGCAGCTCCTCAACGCTTTCACTGACAGCTCACTACTATGAGGATTTGCAAAAACAGTCCTTTGGAGTCTTCACCAATTAGCTAACCTGCAGTATGCCAGGACACAAAATATATCAAAATATCATGCCAGTATGCCAGTATACCAATGAACTACCTGATTGGGACCAAGAAACATACTTCAGGAATTGGGATTGATTCGGGGGCGAGATTCTCAACCTTGTAAATGTCAATGTCAGACCTCAGATGACAGCTGACCATAGGCACAGTCCACCAGTGACAGAATCTCAGAACTCAGAAAGTCAGAGCACAAAACGCAGAGAACCCAGAACACAGACAGTCAGACCAGAAACAAGCCAAACTTCAGCAGCTTCATCTCAAGATTCTTCTGCAGCTTGTCCAGCACCTGGAAGGTGTAGAACTTTGTATCGCATTGACCTCGAACAATCTGCAATCCAATGCCCAAGCTTCAAACTCAAGACTCCAAAGCAAGTTAATCTCTGGCTTCGCTTAGTTGGCCATTTGGTTTGGCCCCTTGGTGTTTGGCCAAAATCAAGAAAACAGTGATTGACTTGCGCCCTGAGTGGTTGATCGCACTAATTAATCATATGACAAAGCACCCTCTGTGTAGCACCAGAAGGTTGGCTGCAGGATGTCAATGACCGTGTCCAAATGCTGCCTTGCCAAACAAATTTGGGCTGGTGGGAAGTCTTAAAATTGTCCATGGTGTTACTTTTTTGCAGCTCAGTAGCTCTAAGTGAAGTGGGATGGCTACTAAAATCTCCATGGCAACCAACCCAACCAACCCTGATCAAAAATTGGCTGCATAAGGCCAGGGCGCAAGTCAATCACCGTTTTCTTGATTTTCCCCAAACACCAAAGGGCCAAACCAAATGGACAACTAAGCGAAACCAGAGAGTTGAGTCTGTATTTATATAGTCACATAGTCTAGTTGCTTTCAATCGCATAGTACGTCTTCGCGCCGACCATTTTGACCGTGCCGCTGCTCGAGTGCTGTGGGTAGGGGCTCCCATATTTGTCACTTCTCACTCTTGTGTTTACTAGCGATGGCCTCCACCCTAGTAGTGATGGCCTCCAACCTACTAGCGATAAACGCTCAAATGTTTGGCCACAACTCCAATCCCATGCAAACAGACAAAGCCGATGTGTATAGCAACCAGGACGATGTCGACGTGGCGTTGAGTTAGACGGTCGTCTGGAGATTGTAACCTGCCCACAACGCAACGAATAGTCGTCGTTGCGCAAAAATAGAGATCCCAGAATAACCAGTTTTCCCAACCCCGAGTTTGCCCCAATGTAATGTTGCAATGTTTAGCTTTGACGAATTTGTTCGGTTGTTTTGTTTCCTCTTTCTTTTGCGTTGGGAAACACTTGCCCACACACACACACATCCGCAGTGACACGTGCAACATACAGCAACATGTTTAACTGGGAAAAAACACAACTACCCACCGGCAACAACCGCCAAATCCTTTGAAAATAGAGAGTGTTCCAGGAGAAAAGACTCCATTTGCTGTTATACTACTACTACCACCACCACTACTACTACTACTTCTACTACTACTACTACTACTACTACTACTACTACTGTCCAGAGTTGTGGGCAATTTGAGGTGCCTGGTGAATTTGTTTAACGGGGGTGTATTGAAAAGACAATGCCTGAAAGTAGGCCCATCTAAATTTGAGAGGTAGTAGTGAGTGTTGTAGTGTACGCTACTTGTATGATTTTCGAGGCCATCGCTAGTAGGTTGGAGGTCATCGCTATTGGTTCACAGGGCCTTGCAGGGCTTAGGGGCTGTGTGATGTGTCTGCAGTCTGGCCCGATACCCCACCGGGCTGGCATTGTCAGATACCGAATCGTTCTTGCAGCGTTCTCAGCATTTGTTGGCAACATCTTCTCAGCTTCTCATTGCAAGTTGATTTGACGTCGCGCCACTTGCGTGCTTGAAGGTGATTCCCATGAAGTGGGCCAATGCCTTACAAAGTCTCTCCATTCTGTTTGTCGCTAAGCAAGCTTGCATCAAGGTGGTTTTCCTCCCAATCGCTTCGGCCCTGAAGTCCACGGATCTACTACAAAGATGGAGCATGTCGAGCATGTCTTTGCCAAAGATGGGAATTGAGGAAGACGCTTGGCAATGCTTAGAACATTCAAACAAAAGAGTGGGACATGCTGCGAAGCTTCAGGCTCTCAAGCTTCGAGGTCAAGTCGAATTTCCAGATCAACGTGCGCTGTTTTTTCGTTTTTTTTTTTTTTTTCGAGTCGAAAGAGTTGTTCTCGAACCGCTCGTTCCGGACGGAAGCGGAACACGAACTTCGTGGAGCTTCGCTCCGAAACGGTGCGAACGCCGTGCGAACGAGCGAGAGGTTTTGGCGGTTTTCATTTAATGGAAAGCCTCCAGGAGACAGACAATATGAGACTGTCGAGTTGTTATCCTGTATTTGAAGAGTCTTTTTTGACTGCATCTGTAGCTTGAAGATGACTAACTGATCCACTTCAGCAGATTTGATGGCGTTGATTTTGTGCTCGTTAAATGAGCTCACAGGAGGATCATGGCACTGTGCCAACCACCGCTCCAGGGTCTCCAGGCCCATTTTCTCTCGCAACACAGCGCCATTGCTCACGCTATCTTCCTTTTGTTTGTTCTCTTTGTTTCTAAAAGCGATGGCCTCCAATTGCCAATAGAAATGGCCTGCAAACTACTACCGATGGCCTCCAATCTATAATTTTGGAAATTGCTCATGCAAGCGTTGTCAGGAGCGCTGCCGTACAGCAACGCAACCTCCTTGGATTGCTTCTTTCTCATCACTCAGTTGGCATTTGCAATTTTTACTTACACAGGTTCGCAGCAATGGTATTGGCCACCCTGACCCGATAGGCGCCATCAAAGAGGTTGTGTCATCAAAAGCGCGTGTTTTAGTGTGTGTTTCGTGTGACAGGTCATCTATGAGTCAGATTACAAAATTCAGCGTGTAATTAAGTTTGGTGCGTCCGATCGCTCCGTTCGTAGCGATGCCCTTTGTTCCTCGTAGCGAACATTGCTCCTAGTAGTAAGGCCAGGAGCCCCTAGGGCCCTAGTAGCGTCCGATCGCTCCTTTCGACCACGTTTTTCTGTGCCGAAATTGGTGCCAGGAATGTCCGCAGGAGTCTTGGTGCTGGTCTATGCCGCTTATTCCGTGTACAGATATCGCCGGGAGGCTGGCCGAGGGCACCGGGGGCAGCGTACTGTGGCACCTCGTGAGAAGGAGAATGGCTAAAGATAGGAATAGAAGGGAAAAAAGGAAAGAAGAACCATGTCTAAAGGCAAAGGGGGTCAAAGAAAGACTATAACATAGAGACGATAGGATAAGGATGGAAGAAGGTGTGACCGGGCGCGACTGGTGCTTGGCAATGGTTGAGCCGCCCTTTTTTTCAAATCCCTCAGGGCCGAGTTGCACCTTTTCTTTTTCTTTGTGACAGGCAAATGAGTCTGCTAGAAGTAGAGGTAAGGGTTTACTAGTAAGCAAGTAGAAGCTACTACATGCGATCGGACGCAGAAAACCTCAGGCTTCAAGGAAGCTCCCCCTGACCTGTGGGGATAGCTTTGAAGCTGCATTGATTTGTTTCGATCTGTGAAGGCCAATCGGATCATTAGCCTCTTTGAGGCCAATACCCAGATCAAGGCCGAACGCCACACAGAGACGGCGAACGCCAAGTCATAGAGCGAAGTGCAAAGGGGGAATCCCCAAAGCCATTTCTCACATTCTGATTCCTGAGAACATGTGTCGTAGATTTGTGTCACAGTATGACAGGGATGTGTCACAACGTTGTCAAAGGATGCCACGCTCGCGTCATGTTTTGTTTCATGGCTGGTATGTGGACGGAGGAGCTGTCTGAGAGCGCAGCTCGAGGAGAACCACTTCCCAATATCGTCGTCGCCGGGCCAAGGACGTCGCAAGCTGCGAAGATTCGGTTACCTACATCTTGCTCCATTCGTAGCGTCCTTGTTCCTAGTAGTAAGGCCAGGAGCCCCTAGGGCCCTAGTAGCGTCCGATCGCTCCGTTCGAGTCGCGATGCCGCTGCCCACATGATCTCAGGTCATTCGAGGCCACATCGGAGCTGACGGTGGAGATATTTGTACCGTTCGAAGCTCGAGTCTCGTGTTTTCGTGTCTCGTCATAGCTCGAGAGTCGTGAGTGTCGAGTGTCGTGAAACCAAGGTCTCCACGGGGATCGACGGGCTTCGAGAGCGCGTGGGCGAAATTGAACAGCCCAAGAATGCTTGGATCGAGATCGCCCGGCAGGCCGATTCCGAGAAGGAAGCGGGGTGTGCGGGGTGTGTTTTGAAGGAAAGGTGTGAGAGAATGTGAGACGCACATCATAACTAACCAAATCACGAATATGACAGGGCCGCAAGAGACAATTCATGTACAGAAGTTTTACAGAGAAACGAAAGAAGCAGAATGCTTCCAGCTAATATATTATTCAGTGCAGGTGTTTTCAGTTGGCAGAGGATTGGGAGTGTCAAGTTTTTTTTTTTTTTTTTTTCGCTGTTCAACTTTGGTCCTACCCTATACTCGGATAGTTGGTGTAGTGACATCACACCAGCTTGGGTTCCGTCCTATTGAACACATTCTTTTCTTTGTGTGGTGGACTAAATTCCGGCATAAAGCAAAGTTCTCTTATAATTAGGATGTAGTGCGGTTGAGTAACAGTACGCACTACTCAGCGTGCGAAGTATTTGCGAAAGATTTGCGAAAGCATTTGTGGTGAACACTAAGAAGGAAACAATGAAGACAGAAAAGAGGTCTCGGTCTAAGAATAAACAAGAGAAGTTTCTTCTAAATATCTAGCGATGGCAGCGAAAAAAGACGACCCATTTCCGAACGAAACATTAACAATGAATGGGCCTGGAGGTGGCTAGTGTGGTGGTGATGGTGGGTAGTGCCCTTGGCTCCGCACCTTCGAGGCGAAGTCGGATCCGCAACTGCGGGGCGTGGCAGATGCCGTGGTGCAACGCACTGGTGTCGATGCCGACGATGTTCCAGAAGTGCCCGGGCACCCGGCTGTGCTGTGATCGAATTCGTTGATCGAATTCTGTATTTGTTGTTTCCTTTTTTTTTCAACACATCGGACATCGATAGCCTTTCGACGGCCAAGGCCAGAGCCAGGTGACCCCTATGCGCGGCAGAGTAACAATCGCGGCGAGGCCCTCCTCAGAGATGTCGACGATCGTCAACGTGTTTCTTCTGCAACACGTTCGCTACTAGGGGCTTTTGGCATCGCTACTAGGAGCGATCGGACGCTACTAGGGGCTGCTGGCCGTACTATTAGGAGCCAGGACGCTACTAGTAGCAAGAAGCTACAAGCAGACAAGACGATTGCTTTGCAAGTCTCAGTTTGCCCTCAATTTGCAGGGCTCCTTGGTCGTGGCAGAGATTCTGGTAGCCAGGTATGAACAAGCGTATACAGAAACTCTTGAACAATGCAGCACCAATTATGCACTAAACGATTGCAATTTCATACGCCTTGCGCAGGATATGTGCCAAGCATCAAAGTATCAGAAGAGAAAAGACCACAAAAAGGGTCTCAAGCCCAAAGAAGCATGTGTGGTGAAGACTAAGAAGGAAAAAGATGGGTCTCAAGCCCAAAGAAGCAGGCTTTTTCATCAAAGTTTTCGTGAAGTCCTCAGGTCACGATCAAAAGACCTCGGAGGAATGAAAGCTACAACTGTGCATCTGGCCTGGCTTGAACGATCCTTCCGAGGGGCCCTACAGCGGATTTGTTTTAAAAGCCGCTATGCCCCCCGGCCCCCCTACTACTTAAGTAAGTCGACGCCTGCTGAATTAAGGGCTAGGCAGGATGCAGGATAGCTAATGCTTCCATTCATATGGCTCCTAGAATTTTATCATGGAAGAGGGTCAGGACGGCTGGCTACTCAACAAATAGATACTGATCAGACGCAAAGGAGCTCAGGATTCCTTGAAGAAGCCCGAGCAGATGATTTGGTTCCTAGACTAAAAAGTGGGGACCATCTCTAGACCACCACTTTTCCACTTTTTCCTCGTTGTCCGTTTCTTTTTTTTGCAAGGAACAAGAACGCTACTAGGGGCTCCTGGCTTCACTACTAGGAGCAAGGACGCTACTGGGGGCTCCTGGCCTCACTACTAGGAGCAAGAACGCTACTAGGGGCTCCTGGCCTCACTACTAGGAGCAAGGACGCTACTAGGGGCTCCTGGCCTCACTACTAGGAGCAAGGACGCTACTAGGGGCTCCTGGCCTCACTACTAGGAGCAAGGACGCTAC